TAAACAATCTTCCCCATCGATTCCCTGCAATATAATTAAAGTTTTCACTTGCAATTTGAAGAGTCCTTCCCTCCCAGTTCTGAAGATAGCACGCAAGCTGTTCGTCCCAAGCCAATGTTAATTGTAAAATACGTTTCCACGAACACCGAGAAATGGGAAAGCCACGAGTAAATGAAAGAGGAGGAATTTCTCGTTCACCCCAGGGAAATCTGAATGGCTTCCGAAGAATAGTTTCCGCAGCTTTTACGATCTTCGTCTCTAGCGTCGGCGCTACCTTTGCTTCACCCCGGCCCCGTCGAAGGAAATTAAAGGGAACACCGGGACGGGTGGGGTCAGATATTTAAGAATGGTCTATTCGGCGAGATTATAGGCTCGATTAACTGGCGGGAGATTGCGCGAGAATTACACCCGAGCTCGTAAAAATCCTGAAAAGCGACGGATTCCACGCTGGTGGCAAACGCTACAGTTTATGGTGATTGAAATTTTACGGGACCTGGCTGACGCGAAGTGTAAATCTCGGCGCGAGGCGATTATTGAACGTCTCATTGTAATTAACGGGTGTGGCAAGGAGGTTGGATTAGGAAATCTTAATTAAAATTTTACGATCGTTAATTCTCAGTTGGCCAGCGCGTGACGAAGATACGAGAACAGCGCCATCGAGGAATAGCGCCATCGGTGTCTCGTATATCATCGCGTGAACAATTTTGAGAAAAATTTGAGCCATTTGCAGGATCCGAGACCTTTAACACGCGCGCGTACACACTGGGAAACATGGCGAACCAGCTGTTAATGATTTATTCCGCGTGACTTTGACTAGCTACGAGTGTCCGTGAATGCGTTACCATCCAGAAAGAAAAAACTCCCTGGAAGTTATATCGAGTTTCGTGGCACGATAGCATCGCCGTATGATTTTTCACTCTTCCAGGAAGAGCATTACGATTTAATTCGTGATTCGTTTTCTCATTTAACCGGCCCCACCGCGGCTGAAATGTATCCTTTTCCAGAGTTACACGCCACCCGAGCACCGCCGACCCGTGTAACTTTAATACCTATAAGTCCCCTGTAAAAATCCTATACAACTTCCGTCGAGTCGTCGCCGGTACCCACGCGTGCGTGTGCGTACTTATCGAAAACACGTCCCGTAAATTCTGTTTTAAGTGGATAGCATCGATTAAAAGCTTACAACCAGCCGGATCTTATCTCCCGGCGTGGACACGCGGGACAGAGGAGCCATGTACTGGCACGTACCTCAGTCGTCGTTCAATCAGGAATTTCTGGCATCCGAGTTTCTATTAAATATTCCCTTGCCTCCGGGGTGTAAGCGTACGGCCCTTTTTCGCGCGGGCCTCGAATAGAAACGCCCTTTAAATCTGCAACCGGCCGCACGTGGGAGTATTCGCGTCGAGCTCGCTCAAAGTGCCTTCCCAAGGAAACGATTATTGGATCCGTAAACAGCGTCCATTTCTTTCGAGCCTAACAGATTGTCAACGGTGCGTTAGATGATAGGAGAGTCTCTCGTTTAAATATCGCGCCGTTAACCCTACGATATGGAAACGTTCGAGTGCTGTGCTTGCGTTGGAGAATTCAAAAACGAGAAATAAAGTTGCGCGAATATTTTTTGGGGTCGTAGAATATTCCGTGGAAGAGCTTCTTCTATTTGCTATGCTTCGACACAAATGAAGGACCAGTATTGTCTACGAAATATTTCGATCAATTTGTGTATACGATTCTGATCATTCTCAAGAATTAAAACAAAATAATACAGTAATTTTTATGCCTGCGAACTGCGAGCTTTAGATTTAGATCAGCAGGAACACCGCCGAGCAAATATTTCTGTGAAACTAATAGTTATTGCCTCAGCCTGTACAAACATTACAGAACTTGAATTAAAACAAAATTCTTCCCATCTGTTTCTTCATTATCTAACACCCCAATAAAATGTTGTCCATCCCTCGCCTAAACGAGAACTAAAATAAAATAATGCGACTTCGATACTTCTCGGTGCCATAGAGAGAATTGATCGATTCAATGGAATTCCAAATAGACTGCAAACTCGATAGGTCCAAAGTTTGCATTTCTGGTCTCAATTAGGCGATAGTTCGATCGATTACAATGACCCCAAAATGTGCTTAACAAACAGTCCGCAATATACACTGCCATCAAACTCGTATACCTATTCACTTCCGGTGGTTGGGATATTTATTACCGTGTACAGATGGTAACGCAATTCCTGCGGTCTGTGCGATTCGACGATAAATCGAGTCGACCCACTTCGACACCGTTTCACGTGCCGCGTTTTCGTTATTACCCGCCCCCCTGCCGCCCCCCATCGCCGCATCGTTCGATTCGGTTTCTGCAGTCGTCGCTTCGATTCGTAACATGGGAGCGGTGCCGTGCGAGTCATTTTTTCCGATATTTTATAAACAATTCTACGTCGATCGCATGTCGTTACTAAAATATGTAACATTTACATTTCTAACGGGTTGTCTGGATATTTCGTGACAATTTTTGATAGGTGGTACAGGTCCGAATACGTTTGAATACATTATAATTTGTAGAATAAAAAATAACAATAAATAAACATAACATTGACAAGTTTCGGAGGCCCTCTCCAAAGTACGTTCTTCTAAATACACGAACAGCTTTTGCAGAAATATCTTTGTTATAATATCGATGTTTGAATATAAAATTACAAAAATCATGCTTTTGCAATAAATATATATCGAAACTCAAGCGTGCCTTGGAATTTTTCTCAAAAATTGACACGAACTTTCTGAACAACCCGATAGTTTTCCTAACTTTAAATTTAATGATTTTCATGGTAAAATAGTCGTAATCAACTGAAGTGAAAGTTGACGATCGAATAAAGAAAAATGAACGGTCAAGTCAGATCAGTCCAACCGTACGAAATTGACATAAGCTTTAGTATAGTCTCGCGAGTCCAAGTTGCGATCTAGAACGAATCAGCGCGGTTCGTCGAGGCTCTGTACCTTTGTATCTCCGAACGTTTCACCTGGCCCAGCGACCTGCTGACCCCACACGTCAAGTACGTCGGGCCCAGGGCCCAGCCTCGAATCACGAAAATGAGCGGAGCCATGATTTATAACGGTGTAATGGGAGCGCGAGATGATACGGCTGTTATTGTTGCGCCGCGAGGTATTATTGCGATCCGACCTCGACTTGGTTGCATGGCGAATGGAATCACGTCGATTCGGGATCGATTTTATTGAAAATCGATCCTTTTTGCTCGGTTTTAGGTTGTTAAGCGATGAAGACTTCACAGACTTCAAAAATTCATAGAAAGGTACGTAGAGTCAGTGTAAAAAGTATTCGTACAGTAACGCATTTCAAATAAATGATTCCTGTACGAATACTTATTACACTGACTGTAAGGAACCATTTATTTGAAATGCGTTACTGTACGAATACTTTTTACACTGACTGTAGCTCCAATTAAAAATACATACAGTCGGTGTGGGACGTTTTCGTACAGCAACCAATTTAATGAACTTTAATTTACGCAAAATCTGTTCTAAAAATACTTAGGTATGTTAATTATTTCTTCCCGTAGAATTTATTCATAGATAGTGGAAAAAGATATTGAAACTAAAGTCGATATTATAGCACTCCCAGAGTAAAATAAATTCCTCTTTTGGTTCAATTTCTAAACACTCTTTCTCGTAAATAAGTTTGCGAAGATTTTACTTTGCATAAAGATCCGCTGTCTGCATATTGCACTGACTTGTAATTGAATACAGCGCAACGATAACTCCAATCGGTATTTCTGTAAAAATCTACAGGCTGCAAAAGTCCCCTTCCCTTTAATTCCTCGAAGATTCCTCGAAGACCAACTGTACAAGGGAATTAAAGTTAATTTCCCTTCACCAGACGTTTATCTTCATTTCGACGCCTTTCATCGACTCGCGTTTCCCGTAAGCAACAAATTGAGGTACTCCCGGGAGTTACACCGGATTGGCCATCGACGTTTATGACGTTGACAGCGGCGGAGAGGTGAAAAAGTAGCCGTGTGCGGTTTCGCGCCTCTGCCGTTCGCGATCCTCGCCTTTCCCCATCGGGGTCGAGCGTAAATTTACGCCCGTGCGAACTCGCGCGAGTGGTCTTCCAGGTTAGGCGACTTCCTCATTGCCGTTTCGCGGTGTCACGCGCTGGAAATTCGTTATCGACAACCGCAGTTTTACGCGGCGCCAGTCCGCGTCGGCCATCTTCCTCGCTGGCGATTTACGTCGTATAAATTTAATCTCAACCGCGAACCCTAAGAACGGAAGGCTTGGAATCGAAGTATGGTTACGAGAAGTTTTGGAAAAAATACCGGAATCGATGGCCTGTCTCTAAAGAAACGTAGGCTGGACTCTCTAAGCTTCGTCGTCTCAGGATCTGAGTTTAGGTTTGACTTTTCTACCGGTAGTACATCGAACGAGCTTTTTAGCGTTTAAATTTCTGAAGTAGACAACATTTTTACTTCGCGGAATGATCACCTCGCGGCGTTTTACAGATGATTTACGTCGAATAAATTTATTCTCCGCCGCTAGATACGAACTTTACGAACTATAGGAAATATTGTGTTGCGAAAAAAATTGAAGCCTAAAACCTGTCACAAAGGAAACGTAGGCTGATCCTCTATATTTGTTCGTCTCGAGATCGTTTTGGTTATTTCAGCTTGAGAATCTCTACTCCTCGAGTACAAAGCGTCCGTGACACGCGACAATAGGCCACGACATATTTTCCATCTAGCCCCGAAATTATGATCTCCGTTTCCCTCCCGCCCTGAAAGGGATCGCCATCCTAAACGGGACAATAATGGTTATTTATGAAATCGTTGAATGGCGATTTGGGACCGGTGTCTTCAACGCGGAACATTGCTCAATATGGCGGAAAGGGACTAGGAAACCATCGCGAGGCATCGGTCACGAAAGAAAGCGTCTCGTGGATCGCGATCGACCGGGAGAAATGAAAATTGCAAACTTATGGTCGTGTACAACCTTTTGACACTGCAGCCTGGACGTCTTGGGACTCGAGTCGTGGCTTTCACCCGGCAGCATTCCGAATTCGATGGGATCTGAAATCAAAATAAGAGATAACCATTTGAAATAACACTTCACTCTGTTGCCTGCGGGCGTTTGGATGTAAACAGGTCCTCATTCATTTGAAATAGTATGAATCTTGACTGGCAAATCAAATATTAAAATACTATTTCAAATTACAAATCAATTTCATTATTTACCAAATATAGAAGCAGTTTCACTTGTTGCCTGCGAGCGTTTGGATGTAAACAGGATTCATTTGAAATAGTATGAATCTTGAAAGACGAATCAAATATTAAAATACTATTTCA